ACACACACACACACACACACACACACACACACACACACACACACACAGTGATTAAGGACAAGGATGGAGTTTGGATCCTGGTGCCAGGCCTGGTTTTCTTGTGCATGAAATTTGGATCATCGTCCTTACCACAGTAGAGCCGTACACCCCTTTCACGGGGGCAGGGCTTTCCCTGCACACACTCCCTCCCGGTCTCCCAGGAAGCCTTAGCAGGGGGGCTTTACAGGGGCCCTGAGAGCGCACGCATGATGCAGTCGCCAGCGGCGCCGTGGAGGAGAGGCTTTCTTCTTCCCTACAGTCACCCTCTCGGAAAGCCACAGGGCCAGTTCTACCCTGTCCTACAGGGTCACTGTGAGCTGGCATCCACTCGAGCGCAGTGAGTTTAGAGTTGCTTTACAGTGTGGGAACAGGGCCCAGGGAGATGAAGTCACTGGAGTTAAATGTTAGTTACAGGTGGTGGGCCCCGGCAGGCCTCAGAGGCAGACGCGAGAATGCAGGCAGGTACCTCCGTGCAGGGCACACAGGAGCGGGTACCACAGGCTGCTGGGCTGAGGGCACATCTGACGGCTGGCTCGCTCGGTCACTCCCTCCCTCCCTCCCCTCTCTGTGCCGGCCCCTCCTCGGTGGTACCAGGCTGGGGCACGTGGAGCATCAGTCATATTCCACCCTGGGGAGCGCTTTGGCCACATAAGGAAAATGACAAGGACACAGTGGCAGACAGGCGCGCTTGCCAGCTTCAACTGACACAGGCTCCCAGAGAAGGTGGTCCCGAGATGGACCGAGGAGAGGGCCCTCTTTCCACGGCACTGCACTCGGCAGGGTGCCAGGAGCCTCTGGGCCCCTGGGGAGAGGGCCTGGCACAGACAGGTTCCTGCTTAGGGGCAGCAGCTGCCGAGCCTGGGAAAGGAGGCAGGAAACACAGCCACTTCTTCCTGCGCGGGCCTCCCTCTGCCCCAGGCCCTCTAATGGACCTGTCATTCCCAGTTGGCCCTTCCCCAGCTCTCTCTCCCACTGGAATACTGAGCTCCCGCACTTCCTTCTCGTGTTTTCCTGCCATTTCACCACGGGGTCATGTTACACCCCGCAGCTTCAGAGAGCCACTTAG